TAACCATTGCCAAACTTCCATAGACATTGCAGCAAGACAGTTTTAAGGAAGAATCTGAGAGATTGTCATGAGGTGGATTTGGGAAGGATTATGTGAGGACAAAACTGGGAAAAAAAGCATGAAAGTGCTCAAGCGAAAGTCTACCAAGCGCTAATGAAGGTTGGTATCATACATGGGCCAGAGGTGGAAGCTGCTCTCTCAGAAACACATAAAATGCAGCTTAGAGATATATAGGAATAAAAATTTCCATCTTCTGGGAATGATCATATTTCTAACTATATTTCAATTCTGAGTTAGAATAACATTGGTATAAAGGGACTGTCCACGCAATTGCTACTCCCCAAAGAATCTGGTTTGGAATTGATGTGAAAGGCCTTTTCAGCAAAGAAACATCCACATCAAGCATTCAGGTTATCCTAAGTACTGGGCTTGGAGGTACTGGCAGGGGTAGCACAGACAAACGTCAAGTTCTTTGTCTCTCTTTCTGGTACAATTTCACTCTGTGTAAATAATGAATCATTATGCAGAACCTAATCATTAGGTACAGCCTCATGATTTAGGTATCCAACCTGCAAGTTCAGCATCTGAAAGATCAGGTCAAGGTAGTCATTATGTTCTGCCCCATTCAGAAAGAAAAAGAAGGAAAAAAAAAAAAGGAGAAAAAAAAATTATTTTGACTTCACCAGTTAGCAAGTTAGTGCAAAAAAAAAAAAACCCAACCAAACAACCCAAAGCCAACCAACCAAGAAACCCAACCCCCACAACAAAACCAAACCCTGAAGAAGGTCAGATCTGATTTGAGATGAGGGTTAGGTGCTTGTATAGTTGCTTAACTGAAAAAAAAAAAAAACACACCAAACCAAACCAAAAAAAAAAAACAAAAAACCCACACATCTATTTGGAAATCCCCAACCTAAGGTGTAACCTGCTAATAGTAACAACCTAAAAGCACTTGACAAATACCAGAGTGACAGATGACACGGGAAGGGCACACTATAAAAAACACATGGAACACAGAAGCAGCCTGTTAACATCCAGGTAAATTCCTCAGCGGTGACTAATTACAACTAATAAAAAAAAAAAAAAGGCAAAAAAACCCAACAACAAAACAGAGAGGCTGTGACATTTAAAATATTGGGATTAAATGTAATTACTTGCAAAAATGCTTTTTATAAACACCTTCAGGTCCTTCATCAGACAGCAAGTGCTACTTCGCTTTGCAGACAAGAACTGACTGTATGAGCCTTCCTCCGTCATTACGTATTTTCACAATACACTATATCTGGACAAGCAAACATCTGAGGGAGAAATAAAGTAATGCTGAAGGAAAGACTATATCTTTAGGGTTGCTGGTAGCCCCATCCCAAGCATCCCCAAGGTAACTGCCATGAGGTGGTTACTGTGCACAAGCAGCATGATAAGAAATGCCTCTAAAAGAGGCAAATGGACAGGAGTTCCTACCCATGTCCCACAGCAAAGGAGAAGTCACACGGAGTTGCAGGCAAACCAGGAATGTGAACAGCCGGGGGTCTAGGCTGATGCGTGGTAATGAAAGCTAGCCCTACTGTGGACAGCTAGAGGCAACAGAGCTATTACTGTCTCACACAACCTAGGATGCAGGCAGCTGCCAGACAATGCCAGAGACATGTGCCTACTCTCGACCTCATTGCAGTAACTTCCTCTTAACTGCTTTACCACCATTCTTTTTCTTCCTTCTTTGTCTCCCTAATTATTATTGATTCTACACTTACCTATGAGCTTCTCTCAGGGGGCAAGGAACAAACGTTTCTGGGAATTCTACAAAAAGGGCTATTTTTCTGACAAGGACCCTCAGTTGTGGCCAAGAACTTGATGCCAATGCCACTGCCTTCCAACTGAAGTGCTTCAGAGGAGAAGCAATCATATCTGGGGTTGGATTTGAGAAAATCTTGTTAAAAATCCTAATTCTACACTGAAAGTGCCTTAAAAAACAAATTAGTAGTAACTATAGAACAGAAACATGAGGAGAGGGGAAAAAGTTTTGCAAGACAGGAATTTATCTTCACTGAAGATATTTTCTGTAGATTGCTATCTCACACCAGTAGCATGCATCCACTGACAAAACAACTAATGGAACTGGCAGGTCTATAATCTGAAAATGTAAGGGAAAATCCCAGGCTCTGGTGAAACCAAGGGCAATATTGTCACAGAGCCAAGATTTCTACCCTGACTCCTGTGGACTTAATAGACAAGGTAACAAGAAAATTTTTCCTTGGGTGCTCTCTCTTTATCTGGAGATCTAAATTAACCTGAGCACTTCTCTGGTGTTTACTGAGCTAGTGTTATTAGCTATGTATTTCACACAAAACTTGTGCTTAACCTGCGGCAGCTACAGACCAATTCTGCTGACTTACATAAGAAACATCACCTAGATTTGTCAACCATTGTCATGTGCCATTCATATAACCATGACCACATTCCCACAGAGACTCAAGAGTGCTCACGCAGAGACTTTCACATTAACAAAAATCAGTCCTCTAATTTAAAGGAAATGCACATCCTGGGGAAGAACTGACAGCTCCAGAGACTGGTCCTTTTATTTACTCACAGACTTTTTAAGGCAAGGGCATATTTCCTCACATGACCCTGACTTTCCATCTAACTGACTAGAAAATGCAACAGATATGTCAGCACCTGTATGCTTTCCACCTTCAGCTTCCCTGAACTTCTTCAGGTTGTACCTACAACAAGGTACAATGCCTGGATAAGGACCAGCTGTTATATCTCAAACTGCTGCTCAGTTAGAGGCAACACGTTTTTCTGCTATGTTTGCCTCATTATAATGGCAAGAAAAGACAAGCATGCAATGCTTTAAATCACATATCACTTCTATGCAAGGTGGAGAGAAAATGCAGCCAAAAGCAACCCCTATACCCTTCTCACAGCTTAGTTTTTTTATTGCTGTTGTGTCAGTCCAGCTGTACACGTAACTGTGTGAAATAATCTTGCAGGTTAAATACTCCAGTCTTGTTGGGTTTTAAATAAACCAGTATCCAGATTCACTATGGATAGTTTACTCTGGCTCACCTGTGACACCCTCCAACCTAGTACTTACAACAGAGTTACCACACATAGCAAGTTATCTTTCAAACACAGCCTCTGACAGATGGTGCCAGACTCAGCAACACATGAAATACTCCACACTTCTGGTCTCATTTTAAACCTCTGATTGTACATGCTCCTTCAACATCTGTTGTGGTTTAAGTCCAGTCAGTAACTCAGAACCACGTAGTCGCTCACTCACTCCTCCAACTTCCTCCGCCCCTGACTCCCAGAAGGATGGGGAGGAAAATCAAAAGAATGCAACTCCCACGGGTTGACATAAGAACAGTCCAGTAACTAAGGTATAACACAAACCCACTACTGCTACCACCAATAATAATAATGATAAGGGGAATAACAAAGGAAGAGAATACAACTGCTCACCACCCGCTGACTGATACCCAGCCCAACCCAACCAGTGATCTAACCCTTCCGGGTAACTGCTCCCAGTTTATACAGTGGGCATGACGTGCTGTGGTATGGAATACCCCTTTGGCTAGTTTGGGTCAGGTGTCCTGTCTCTGATTCCTCCCAGCTTCCCCTCCTCCCTGGCAGGGCAGGAGACTCAGAAAGTCCTTGGGCAGACTCAACCAGTCGCTGAGCGGCGACTAAAAGCAGTGTTATCAGCGCTGTTCCCAGGCTGAAACTCAAAAACACAGCACTGCACCAGCTACTAAGAAGGAGAAAAATGACTGCTACTGCTGAACCCAAGACAACATCATAGAGCAAACTGTGGCAGGCAAAGCTGTACCAGGGGAGGTTTAGACTGAGTATTTGTTTACTGAGAGGGTAGTCAAACACTGGAACAGGCTTTCCAGAAAGGCAATCGATGCCCCAAGCCTGTCAGTGTTTAAGAGGCATTTGAACAAAGCCCTAAATAACATGCTCTAACTTTTGGTCAGTCCTAAAGTGGTTAAGCAGATGCACTTGATCACTTTATGTTCCTTACAACTGAAATATTTTATTCTACTGTTATTATTAGCAGCAGCTGCAAGGGGAGCAGCATGTAGCCTTATGTAAAGTGTTTCTAGGACTCCCTGGTGACAGGCAGTATGTCTACTATGTTTAACAGTAAGTCCCCCAGTACAAACTATGCCATATGGGCCTCTCATTCATCTTGTGCTCTCAAGTATTACTGTCATATTTCTGAAAAGGCTTTCTACATAGCATAACTGTAGCAACGGTTATTTTGCCTTTTAATACCACTAACTAAACAAACACTTATCAGGAACAGAACAAACAAGCCACAGCTTGATAGCTAAATTCCAAGCAAATTACAATCTTATGGTTCTCCTTGTTTCTTGCTATCTCCTTCAATTTCTTCCAGTACGTTATTACATGCATCTGTTCAGCGAGATCCAAAGCCAAGACTGCCACTTACTGCCTATTAGAGTCAAACTCCTTTGAAATCCCTTGATATGAAAGGCTTCATATCAAGCCCATTTCTACGTTAAACAGAAGACAAGATGCTTGTACCAAAAGAGACATGAACATTCAGTTCTGCTGAAGGGAAACAAATGAGTCTACATCATTTTTAAAATCAATGTATTTTTCCTTAGAATACAATTAAGCTGTGTACACAAACAGAGACAACAAAGCTTGCTTATTAACCTGACATGGTGTTAATGAGAATGCCTTTCCCTGTCACATCTGCCACCTTTATCTCAACATTGAGGTGGGGTCATTTCAGATAGCTGAAGTTAAACACCAAAGGGCTCACAACTCTGAGTCATTTTTTTTTGTAATACAGGCAGTACCACCCTATGATTCAATTTATTTGCAATGCAGAAACAAATAAACAATAGTTCTCAGTACTTTGAGTCTACAAAGCAGTGAATCCAACAGCAGTGTCTGACAGACAGCATGTTTACTCGCTGCCCTGCTTTCATCTGATTGAAGTCAGGACATTGCAGACTCACCAATTCTCCTGGAAGGCAAGGACCAACCTGAAGCTCCAGCTCTGGAGAAGAGTGTGTACAGCGATCTTCTTACGTAAAGATCTCCACTTTCATTTAAAAAGAATCTACTTTATAAAAAAATCTGATTACTATGTCCTAAGCAGTCAAACACTAGAGAACAAACAAAAAAAGCAAGTTTTCAAACCGAAGAACAAAATTATATATAAGTCAACACTAACAGTACCACAGCTATTCAGGAAAAATTGTTGCAAGAAATTCTACCTTCCTCAATGCATATGCCAGTGTCAGCTACAGGCAACAGAATTGTATTTCAGACCAAAACTTTATCAAATTCTAGGATGCATAGTTTGGAGCCTATCACTAATCAATATCAGGGTGTGTTCTGAAGTTTAAACACTGAGTTTTAAATACTTTCAGCTTTTCTTGTGCCATTTCAGAGTACTTCTATGTAATCAATATTAACTAAAGGCACACATCCTACCATTTGTTTGGTTGCAGAGCAAACCCACGTGACCAAAAGAGACACTGGACACCTGCTTTTTATTTTTAATTTCACGGAACTGCACTCAAATGAAGCCCGAGGAAGCTGAGATATTACTGACCATCAGTAAGCACTACCTTTAGAGATATTTTCCTTGAAGAGTAGAGGTATTTTGCTGCCTACACTCCAAAGACAGTGGGGAGGTTTTTAGCCAGACTCAGAGTGGTATTGAGGAACCTGGTATTTGTTCCTGTTGATCTTGGATGCCTCAATACCTTTGTCTTCATATAACCATGCCAAGTAAAAAAAACCTCCTTTGCCAGTTACACCCTCTGTTAACATCTCTGAAGCTCAAGAATTTTTCCTATTACCATGTGGCTTTTTCCTTTCATATGTCTGAAGTGCCAGGATTCACACTTAGCCCACAATCCTTCAGTGAGCACACAAGATGCAGTTGTAAAGGGACCCTTTCTAAGGGCACCATCTCACCTGCATACATAGTAGAACAAGTTTGCCAAGAAGGTCGTAGATGTGCCACAACACCCCATCTACAATTGACAAGGACTAATAGTTTAAAAACAAAACAAAACGAAAATCCAATATTTTGTCATTGTTATAGATTATCTGGGATTTGCTCTACCAGCCACATCAAGGAATGCATTATTCCGAGCAAGGGTGGTGATCACTTAGTTTCAAGGGAATTATGCTTATATGATGACATTCAGTAAGTCTTGAAACTGTTGCCCAATTTTGTGAAAATAAAATAGATATAAAGACACCAGCTGAGATCATATCCCTGCTGTACTTGCACAAATGTGTGCCTGGCACAACAAAGACAGGAGCTGTGCCCTGGAGATGCAGAGCCATAAAAACAAAGTGCTTTGTGACCAGCACAACTCAGGAAATCAGACCTCCTACAGAACTGTGTTCCTTTGTTGATTAAATGTCTATACTTAACTATACTAAGATTTTTCTGTTTTCATGTTCAGAATGCAATGTATCCAATCAGTTATTTATCATCTTTTAAGTTTTGAGAGAGATTACAGTTCAGACGTATTCACCCCAAAAATCATTTTCCTTTTCTCTTTACAACTTCATTTACACCAAATATCTTGTTGCCAAGTGGAGGCAGTCACATACGAATGTATCACTCAGTCACTAAGCAAAAACCTGGAGAAAACTGGCAAGTGTCTGACTGCAGACCTGCTTTTCCCCTTTAGTCTGTTTCTACAAAATCTGCAAGAACTTTATTATGTTGGAGCTGTTCTCCTTACATCACACACAGCTGAAATTGGGCATTGACAATAAAACAACATTTAAACAACAAATACTAAAATGCATGTGCGAACACAAAGTAAGAGATGGTATAAACCTTGTTTCTAACAGAAGCTATGCTAAAAGATGAAGTCTAGTTAGCTTTTGAAGTGGCAAAGCAGGTGCTAGGTCTGCCCTCAGGCATCAGTATTGCTCTTCAAAGGCATGTAGATGCAGGTACAGCCACATCCTAAGGCTGAGCATCCACTAGTGTACACGGAGGTTCTCAGGAGTCTTTGGGAGCCACAGATAACTGGAGGGACACACAGAAATGTGTGTCACAAGTGGAAAAGTTAGACACTCTCTTTTCAACAAGGTCAGTGCATGAAGGCCACAGAGGACATATGCACCAGGAGCAGACGTGGAAGCACAGTAAAAGTCTTGACCAGGATGGGAGGGAAAGGAGGAGCAATGGAATACAAAGCTGAAGGAAAGAACTGGAACTAGCAAAAGATGGAACACAAGAAGAGGGGCAAGCACCACAGTACTGCACCGTAAATGGTTATTAATTCTGCCTTCCTTAGGACTTTGATAGGACTCTGGATCTGATGATTCATGAAGCACATGGCAACAACACTGGGTGTAAGGGAAAGCTGTTTTTATAGAGCCCATCAGCTTTGTCAGACTACACTCCCTGACAGCTAGCTTGTAGCAAACAATGCTCCCATGACTCACCAGATGTTTGCTCCTCATTGAAATAGAAGTCACCAAGGGACTGATTGCAACATTTCCTTGAGGTCCAACTGGCTCACACACGTGGCAACCACAGAGACTGTGCCAAGCTGATGTGCATTTCACCAACCACCAGACTGCACGACACTTTTAGAAGTAAAACATCTGAAGGCAACCAATCAGGTTTTAAAGTTTTTCTGCATTTTTAAAATTCTTTCCCCAGAAAACAACCACTGCGCACAAAGATTTTCAAGTGGCACGCACATGCCAAGGGCTTAACAGTAACATTCAAAAGAAGCAGCAAGAAGCTGGCAAGAGTAGCACAGTGATACATTTCATTAATGATTTAAGATAGCCAGGCTTACATTTGAAGCAGAGGACAGGCAGGCATCCTGCTCTGATGAATTTACAAAAGAAAGCAGTGTCTTGCAACCATCATTTTCACAATTAATCATCATATAAATCCGTAATTCCTGCAGACTTCAGTCTGCTACTCTATTTGAGTGGACCTATTTCTAGGAATAAAATTTTCCTGGACAAAGGCCTAAATTCACACATGCCAAATCAATAAGGATTTGGGAATAAAAGTGAAGGCAGACAGAAGTGTATGAGAAAACAAAGCCTTACTACACGATGGGGTGAAGGTTGCTTACATACAGAAGTCAATCTAAAAATGAAGGTACAGGCTCGCACGGAAAAAAACTGGGAAATCTTCTAACTGCTTAGGAAGAAAAAGGGAGACAAGGTCAGCCCTGCTTAAGGGCAATCAGAGACAAGCTAAGATGTATTTAATAGCTCTGAAGGGGAGAGAGGTGGGGAAGGAGACAAGAAACAAGGAGACAGCAAACTGCAGCAGAGTCCTGGCAGTGGGGACCAGGAGATGAAGATATGTGACAGTAGCACCGAGAACAGCTTTGGCATGAGTCTGACATCTGGGAAGGAAAAGTTGCAGAATGCAGCTAAGCACTTCCACCAGGCTGGTGCTCGTTCACAGATGCCATTTTTAAAAGGAACTCAACTAAAAGGTTTACCCGTTTACCTTAAATTATTTAGCGATGTATGCTTCAATTACTGCACCTGCTTTGTTACCTACATACGTTAGCAGTACCTCGGGAGCTCTCACAGAGCCCAGGGAGCTGGCCTGGTTGGTACTTGACAAGGATAAGCCCTCCTGCTTTGCGGCTGTTCCCGTTGTAACCGTTACAGCGGGTGGAGGGGGCCGGCACCGTGGCGGCCAAGGACCCTGCGTTTCACCCCGCCTCGCCGAAACCGGGGAAGGAGGGACACGGGGTGAGACCGGTGGGCAGCACCGAGCAACAGGAGAGTCCGGGCGCCAGGAAGGCTGTCAGCGACCAGAGCCGAGCTTCCCCCCGCCCCGGTGGGACGGGACGCCGCAGTCTCAGGGCGCCGCCGCCTCACTGTTATTCCCTCCCCGCCCGCTCCCCGAGCGCCGGCAACAGGCCCCGAGCAGCGCCACCGGCAGCGCCGCAGGCCCCGTCCGGCGGGTCCCCGTCCACTCACCGCTGCGGCACCCGCCGCCGCCGCCGCCGTTTCCCTCGCGGGTGGCCCAAAGGGCCGCGGTGCCTCTTCTGCCCCTGCGCTGCTGCCGCTGCTCGCTTGGGCGCCCAGCCGCGCTCAGCGGGGCCGTCCCGCACCGGCCCCGCCGCTCCGGGGTCTGTGGGGAGGGCCCGCCCTCACCGCCGAGGCGCAGCACAGCCCTGCCCGGCGGGCGGCGTTATGTAACCGAGGCCGCAGCCCGCGTCGCCGTCCCGCCCCACCCCACAAGCAGCCGCCGTGAGGGGTGCCCTTGGTCGGGCACTGGCGTCCCGGCAGGCCCTGACTCTGCCCGGAGCCGGCAGGTGTCCGCGGCCACAGGTGAGCACTGGTGTTCTGCTGCTTGTTGGCGGAGTAAAACGCACCAGAAGAGACGAACCCGGGTTTCCCACAGTACCGCGTCTGGGGTCTCGGAGCTCTGAGTCACCAAACACTAGAAGCGGGTGTCAGGCCACGAAGAGTCTTCACCCATGCTGGGAGCCGGCAGCGAGCCATGCCAGCACGTGGGCAAATTCCTTAGTGTTCCTTCTGAACGTCCAGAAAGCAAGCCGGCAGCTATACATAAATGCAACAACCCCAACTCACTGCAGTTAGCACAGACAGGAATTCATCTGGATGCACGGTGTTACAACTGACATTTTGGGAAGAAAGAAACAACCAAGAATTTAGGAAACAAAACTGCTTTCCAGTAGTCTGATCCAGGTGATTCCTTCCCTTGTAATCTATCCAAGCAGAAAGTCTACAGCATATGCTCAGGTAACTATCAGAAGCAAAAGGAACACCAGTGGTGTGCTGCCAGGCACAGTGTCAGTTCTGTAACTCAGAAAAAGAAACCAGTGAATTGGCAACATTTTGTGTTCCATCTGCAGTATCAGAAAGTTCTAATTACATCGAAACCAGTGCACTGAGCCACAGGCAGGGAAGGAGAACAGAACGTACAGCTTCTTCATATTTGAACAGCAACATAACCTAAACAAGCTGAATGAACGTGTGAAGAACTTCGTTTTTCATTAGCCACAAACCGGAGCTCTTCGGCAGAGGCTATACTGCTGCCCCCTGCTGCCAGGAACTTGTGCGGTTCACCTGCCTAACGTACAGTAGAACGGGCTATTTGCGATAAAAATCTCTGACCACACAGATACGTAATTCAGAAGGAAAGAGAGGGTGAGCTCCCACAGACGCCGGAGAGGACAGCTCTTGACCTACTAATGCCATCTGGCGTAGGTTGGCTCCCATCAGTAGTGTTTGTTGGTGGCATCAGCCAGGGGAGCTGCCATGGGCTTACGGCTGCCCACAGCCAGGTATTTAAGGTGATCTGCCATCCATGTGCCAACACTGCGTTAATTGGGATAGGTCTGTATTTAACTTGCTCACAAACCGTCAGGAATTACCACTCCTCACTAGCAGGAAAAAAGGTAAATGGAAATCTTGTCAGAATTTAATGGTGAGGAGTGTACTTTCATAGCTGGTTCTGACCTCGAAGCACCGAATGCCCACAGTGGGTCCTGTAGTGGCACAATTTGGGATGACTGACCTTTTAAGTTGTCACTATGAGGGAAACTGCTCTATTCTCCCTCTGTAAACAAGACTATCATCTAGCTTTGAAAATCTAATTTATTTACCAGCACGCTTTTGACAGACTATTTACTTGGAGTAAAGTTTGTATTACCAGTGTGTAAAATTGAATCTATGCCTATGCAATTGCTCTTGCCCTATAGTAATTTAGAGCTGATTATCTCTTAATGACCTTTAGAATAGTGTGAGGAACTGTACACAATCCAAAAGGGTTGGACTCCAAAGGAATGTGTCTAGAATAGGTAGATCATAGATAACAGAAAATCTTATCTGTGAAGTGTGAAAGTTTGCTGTCATCACAGTGAGTATATGAGCTACCCTCACTGGCAGCAATGAGTGGTTTCCTTAGGAAACTACCCCTTAGGAAACTGCTTTGTATACCTAGACCTTTTAAGTCCAAAATAAAAACAGCTCCCTGCATTGAGAAAGCTTGCTGGTGTTGGACAGTGCATCACTATCTAAACCTTGCTTGAATTAAGTTCCTCTTATGCATTTCCATATGTGAAAGCTTTCACAGCTCTGATTTTACTACCTCAAACAGCTTTGTACATGCTGAGTTAGAAAAACCAGCATACACAGGCATTAAGTAAATGAGCATTCAGTGCATTAACCAAATAATATGAAGCTGCCCACACACCACACCTAGACAACAAAGGAGAGGTAAGAATGACTGCAAGCACTGTGGAAGGGTGGAGGGGCTTCTTGAAAAAGAAAGAGCAGCAGCTCTAGTTCTCCTTCCTTAGAGGAAACAAATGTATTTTTAGAAGCAGTTGGTTCAGCCCCTAAACTAAACCACAAGTATTTGTCAGTGAATATACAGACATTTCCTGTGATGAACAGAATACCCAACAGACTGGGCGGAACACAACAAATACTGCAGAAGTAACAATGGTATTGGCATGATTTATCCCATAAGAGGACCTACAGGATATCTTTACAGCAACAGAGAATAACTTACAATGCTGCAGGGTAGCTACTCTCTCTTATTAGCATGACACGCCCATTTATTCACACTCATAACCAATGACAAACAAGAATTACAAGGTATTAGGATGTTTCCCTTTATGTTTGCTTGGGTACAGCAATGTAAAATTATTAATCAAATAATGAGTCACATGGCAGTCTTTAGGTGGGAGGAACAGCATTTGCAGGCAGAGAAACATTGTGTGCAGCATACCAGTGACATATGTCTTTGGCATGACAGGTTTCAACAGCGGGTCTTCTCAGGGTTTTGGGGTTTGTGTGATGTTTTATAGCTACTAGAAGTTGGACATTGCTTAACAGAAAACTGGGTGATCAGACAGGAGTTGCTGCATAAGAACTCAGTCAGTAAAGAATGAAGAGCCATAAACTCTAAATGCTAATGTCAGATCAGTGTATCTTTGGGAGCACTAAGGCAAGGATCACACTGGTAAACCATGAGACTAGTACCTTGTGGAGGGAGTGAATGAAAGATTAAAAGCAGTTTGCTTATCACCATTGTATGGCCATTACAGTGATGAATGGTACAGAAGGTCGAGACATTCTGCTACTATTCTCACCTAAAAGCTTTAAAGTTTTGTTTCCATTCTCTTGGGAAAGCCTATTTTGCATGCACGACCCAACTTTAGCCCTTTCAGTCCTATCCTCTCCACTTTTTCTGTGGTACAGATGTTTATTTTTTAAACCCCAAACTCTTCTATTCCTAACTTTATCCAGTGCTGCTCGAGTGGTTTCTGCTGTCAATGCCATTAACCTCTTTGCTACAGCCTTCCCTATATTCCTAGTCAGTCTCATTCTCTCTCCCCTTCACACTCCGCATCTCAAGTGTCCCTGTTAGCTTACATGTCTGGTTTGAGAATCTTCCTGCTCTGAAGGGACAGACACAGGCTTGGAAAGGAGACACT